GGGCACTGCCCAGGGCTGGCTGGCTGTCTCAGAGCCCTTCCTTGGGATAAAAAGCCACAGAAACGGTGCCAGTCCCCGGAGGGGCCTGTCGAGCAGGATCTGTTCTCACTGCTCAGCTCTGCAGCTCCACAGCCCCAGTCTCAGTGTCAGACTGGGGAGCGGGTTTGAAGGGAGCCAGAATAAATAGTGTTCACAGAGGACTTTATGGGGCCTTAATAGAGCAGTTTGAGCTGCGTTTCAAGGTCTTTCCTACACGCAGAGTTAATTGAGAAAAGCTATTGCAGTTTCAAGTGATGCACTCGCTTAAATCAAGTTCACTTTCATGTGCTGGTGTGCCCTAAATTACACCAGGACGCATTTCCAGCCAGGAAATGCTTTGGAGGGAGGGTGTGCTGTCCACCAGGGATGAAATACTGGGGACAGGGCTTTCCTGGGTACTCAGTGAGAAGAACCAGAAGCTGAGGGGCAGCACATCCCTCCCTGGGGTCTTAAAAAGCAGCAGAAAACCTCAGGACCCAGAGTTGGGTTTTCTGCAGCTGTAGGAAAAGGGGAACACTACCCTAAACCTGCATTTCAGTTCATCCCAAGATTAGATTGGCTGAGAAACTTAAAATATTTTTGTTGTTCTTTTAAAGGAAATGCCCACTTTACTGGGAGAGTAAATTTCCTTCCTGGCTGCTTCTTTTTGGTCTAAATATTTATGCCAAGAACCGTGAAACTGTCAAAATGCATCAAAACAATGCTGGGAGAAGGTTTTCTTGGGAGAAAAACTATGGGGGGTTGTGTGTTTCTTCAGTCTTAGCAGAAATGGAAAGTGAAAAGGTGAAAGAACGCTGGGACCGGAGGGAATTCTGGCAAAGGGAAATTGAGGTAAAGATTCTGCAGAAAACCCAGGGCTTCTTAAAGGAAGAAAAACCACAACATTGGAAGATATTATAAATGGGTTTGGGGTTTTTCATTTATTTGTGCCCCTCCTCAGGCTGTGCCAGGGAGGGTCAGGTTGGACACCAGGAGGAATTTCTTCCTGGAAAGGGCTGTCAGGCATTGGCAGGGGCTGCCCAGGGAGGTTTGGAGTCCCCACCCCTGGAGGTGTCCCAGGAAGGACTGGATGTGGCACTCAGTGCTCTGGGCTGGGGGACAAGGTGGGGCTGGGGCACAGGGATGGATCCATGGGCTGGAGTCCGTGGAGCTGGGCAGGCTCATCCCGGGTCAGCTTCCCAAGCTTTGCTCCAGGCTCTGCAGGGGGAGTGCAGAACAACCCCACCCCAGCCCGGGTGTGACCCCCCCCCACGAGCACAGGGTAAATGCCAGGGCCCTTCCTCAGCTATTCCTGTGGGACAGTTGATGGGCAGGGACACGGCCTGAGCAAATGGGAGGATTATTTTGGAGAGGGAGTTCTGGATTAGGAATGTGACTTGTGTAAGGGCAGCGTTATGGTTTGGTCTCTTTTCAAGGGCTGGTGTAAGTGGAAAACTGGATTTCTTGCTTTCTTTGTGCTGAATCAGGACTCACTTTGATAGCAGAGGATTTGCCTTTCCAGCTGATCCATCCAAGGGCATTGAGTTCCCGAGGATTCCCCGGAGACAGGTGTGTAAAATGGTGCATGCAGACATGGAACTGCTGTGCCAGAGCTCTGCACAGCTGGACAGGCTCCAGCCTGGCTCCCTGCACGCTGCCAGCAGGGCAGAGCAGAGCAGAGCCCAGCTCCACACGTGGCACAACAGCCCCGTGTCGGAGCAGTGCTGGCTGCTGGGACTGGCTCCTCTCCCGGGACAGATGAACCTCCAGGGTTTTTTCTCCTCCTGAATTTGCCCAGACCACTGTGATCCATGGATTTGCTGAGGGAAAGTCAGGATGATCTGGGAATGAGGAATAACTTGCAGAATACTCTGCCTCTCTGGCTGCCAAGTCCCAGGATGGAAAAACGCCCTGGCTCAGGGAGGGGCTCGCTGGAATCCGTTCTCAGAGGCTGCTCCAAAGGCCCTGCTGCTGCTGGAGGGGCTGGTGCCAGGGCAGCAGGTCCCAGGTGGATTCCCAGATATCAGGGACAGAAATGATGTGTGAGATGGATGAATGGATGGGAACAAACCCTGGGGAGGGAGCAGATCCTGCCATGGCAGTGGCAGTGCCAGGCACGTGCCAAATGAGGGAAACCTGCCTGGCAGGGGAGGAGATCTGATTAAAAAATGAGGGTGATAAAAATGAGTGTGTTTTCCCAGCTCCTGCCCACTCTCATTCACTTCACGTCCTGGATATCATCTAGAAAAAAACTTTATTTCCACAAAACTCACGTGTTTTGGAGTTTGACCCAGTTCTGGAGATAAGACACTTGACTCAAATACCAGCTCTAGATCTAAATTGCCACCAGATCTTGGATTCTGGTTTAGGGCCAATTCCATTTGAATGGCCAAAGGCATATAGTGCAAAAATATTGTGGCCTTAATTATTTTTTTGGTAGTTTAATTAGGAGCTTGATCTGGGTTTGGGGCAGGACACAAAGTGGATTAGGGGAGCAGCTGGCTCTTTAATTAGGGCCATTTCTCTGTCCTTAAAGTTCACCCTTTGCTTGCCCAGAGGCAGCAGGACAGCCCCAGCCTGGGGTCAGTGGGGGGCTGAGCAGGGCTGGGCAGGGGGGGGGTGCTGGGGATACTCCCCCCTTGCTGGAATCCCCCTGCAGAGATCCCAAAGGACCAACTGGCAGTGGTGACATGTGGCTATTTTTGGAGGCCAGGGACTGGGGTAAATATTTATTTAGATTCCAGTGCTTAATCTGCCACCGGTGGATTGTGTGGAAACACTGAGCCCACGCTCCTCCTGCAGCAATTTATATCCAGAGCATCCATCTCCCCTGCTTCCAGGGCTCCAAACACATTCCCCAGGATTAATTGTGCAGAGAAGGGGCATGGCCTGGGCTCAGACCCTGTGGCACCGTCCGGCCCCATCGGGGCAGGCATCCTTCCCTGTCTTGTTTTACCTGAGGGACAGTCAGAAACCCAACCCCAGGGACCCCGGGGGGATGGCCTGGGGCTGTCCCTGCCCTGCTGGACACACACAGTGTGGGGACCGTGGGGGGATGGCCTGGGGCTGTCCCTGCCCTGCTGGACACACACAGCCACCCCAAACACTGCCCTGCTCTCCATCTACCAGAGCAGATCCATACTGAAAGTGGGAAGGGGAAGGCTCTGGAAGGATCCTTCACATTCACCAGGGTGGATGGACACCCCCTCCCGTGCCCTGGCTCCGTGCCTCCCACCACAACCAGTCACCAGCACTCTGGGCTGCACTGGGAGGGTCCCCCAGCCCCAAACTCGGGCTGTGGTGCTGCAGGGGGGAGGCAGCAGCAGTGGGTGCAGCTCGGGGTGATGGGCAGAGCTGGGGAGTGTCTGGGGGGACTCAGTGACAAGGGACACGGTCCCAGCTGTGCCAGCCCAGGCAGAGCTGCTAAACCATCATCCCCCAGGAGCCCCCCCGGAGCAGGGAGCACAGCAACTGGAAACTTCTGCAAGAAAACCCTCCACACGGCCAGGAGATGAGTTTGCACTCAAGGTACCATTTTTATTTTGACATATATACATTATATAATTTAAAATGCAGAGTATTTGTGAGAGAAACGTTTTGTTTTTCAGATAAAAGCAACCCACCGTGTCCCCCACAGCCCCTTTGATGCCCTTTGAGGTGACCTGCAGACAGCTCCTTCCCCAGCTCCCTGCTGCTACTGGGAAAACCTGCCTGCCCCTCCTCTCCCCCTGGAAAAAGGTGCATGTACCTGTCCCTCCCCTCCAGAGCCAAGTGTCCTTTGCTGTCACACAGCCTGTCCCCTCCTGCAGTGCTGGGACAGAGCTGGGTCCTCCTGCAGGGCTGGGGAAGGAGCTGTGGGGACACTGGGAACAGGGTGAGGAGGAACCAGAGCTGACAGGGACAATTTCAAACACTGGTGTAAAACCTGCAGGGGTGGGGAAGGGCTGGAGGGAGAGGAGGTTCTGCCCAGCAGCTTGGGCAGATTCCTCCATCCAGAAGGAAGGAGTTGGGAGATGGTGAGATTAAAAAAGGCTCAGTAAATGAGACTCTTCCTTTGGCAGAGAGGCACCAGGAGCACCTGGGGCTGTGGCCATGCAGTGACAGGACACAGCACCAAGCACACAGTCCCAGTTCAGGATTTTTTCCACTAGTTACCAGGGCTGGGAGAGGTGAGAGCAGAGGGAGGTGATGCACTGAGGTCCTGAGACAATCCTCCCTGCAAATCCCCTGAGAAAACGCGTGAAATGGGAACTTTCCTTTGCACAGCACCGAGTTAAAAGTTCTCTTCTCTGTCCTGGTATCCCAGGCTTCACTAAGGCTCAATCCTCTACCATAAATACGAAAAATATTCTTTACTTGAAGCCTGCTGGCCATACAGCTGCATTTGGTTTGCAATGGGAAACACTTTATCTGGGAAATGAGAATAAATTATGAGCAGCAAAAGCTCTCCCCAGTCTGTTAGAGTTCCAGGAGTGCGTCTGAAGTAGTGAATAAAGACTGATGTGCTGCGTTTTTTTTCAAGGACTTCCAAAAAGTCCTTCTGGAGACACAACCCAAGCAGAGAACCAGCCTGGAGGATGATGATTTGCCAGCAGAGTGGCTGATTAGGAGAAAAGGGAAATAACGATTAGTAGTTCATTTTGATCGTGGCAAAAAGGCTCCATCTGGTGGTGTTTGCACCCAGAAAGGAGGTGAGGAGCAGGGTGGGAACTGCAGATCCTCTGGAACTTGCGGAAATGTCAAGCTGGGAGAAGGGGTGGCACGATGGGAATTGAAGTTGTGTGTGGATAAATGCAGAGAAATGCACTTGCAAGGGGACAGATGAGGCTGGGGAGCCCTGGTGAGCCAGGCTGGGCTGCTCAGTCAGCACTGACAGGCCATGGGAGAGCTGTGCTGCCCTGCACAGGGCAGGGCAGGCATCCAAACAGAGGGAGAGCAAGAACAGAGGAAATATTTTAATGCCTTTCTAGTAAGCACAGTCCAGAGCATTCCAGCAGGGACAGGGATACTGGAGGAATAGGAGCAAAATGATAAGCTCAGAAGGACCTTGATATGGAAACAGGTTAAAAAGTTTGCTATTCGGTTAAAAAGAGGCAGGAACAGGAGGGATGTGAGTGTTAAAAAATGAAGGCTGGTCCTGCTAAGCCTGGGCAGCTTTGAGGGGAGAGGAGGGAGCTGTCAGGGGCAGGAGGGAGCTGCCTCTGAGCTCAGGCAGGACATGGAGTAACCAGCTTAAACTCCCTGATTTGCAATAGTCAGGAAGCTTTGGGGATGGGAGAGTGGAGCTTCCCTCCCTCCCCCAAAAATCCCACTCAAGCATCACCAGGAACAGAAGGAGGTCAAGTCTGCCCTGGGGGCAGCCAGGGATGGGATGCAGCCTCAGGGCCCCCCACTGACAGCCAGGGAGGACAACAGGTCACTACTGGGCTGCTCCTTTGCCAGCACCTGCTGAGTGGATCCCCAGCAGAACTGGTGGGTGGGCAGGGAAATCCCTCCTGTCCCCACCACAGAGCACTCACAGGTTTTTAGTGTCGGGGAACCTGCTGGTGCTTCCCAGGTGAGCTGGCACAGAGCCCCTGAGCTCGTGGGAGCTGTGGGGGCTGCACCCCAGCCCTGCACCCCATGAGCCCTGGGGAGCTGAGGGGTCCAGGCCCAGGCTGGGGCAAGGAACTCCTGCCAGAGGAGGGGCAGGAGGAGTGTTCCTATAAAAAGGAATCGGGATGTCTGATAAAAAGCTGGAGAAGGCTCAAGTACTGGGCTCAGGAGCAGAGGGAAGGTGAAGCAGCCTCACATGGGCTTACAGACAACAGCTGTAAGCCCAGGGCTCAAACACAGGGAGGGGCCAGGCTGGGGCTGTCAGCAAAGGGGGGCTCTGCACCTGCCCCAGGGGTGCACAGGACCCTACACACACACACAGAGGCATTACCATCACACCTCTGTTCCTCCTGAGGGGGTCCCAGCAATGTCCCACCACAGTCAGGCCCATCCTCAGCGCTGAGACATCAAAAAGACAACAAAGTGGAGCCCCCCCATCCCCTCCTTCTGTCTGTGGCTCCTGGGGATGCAGAGACCCCAGGCCCTGTGGTGGGAGGGGGTCCAAGCCCCGCTCTCTCTCAGGGGCTCCTTGAATCCCCCTCTCCTGGGAGACGTCAACACAGAGCAGAGAACTGAGAGAGAGCTCGGCCGGACCCCCCAGCCCTTTGCCCCCCTCAGGGCCTGAAGAAGCGTCGTAGCACCAAGTGCCCCACCACGATCAGGGCCACCACCAGCATGTACTTCATGTAAACATTGTCCAGGTCCAGCGCAGCCACCTGGCAGGGAGCAGACACCGGGGTCAGTCCTGCTGGAGCCGGGCTGCTGTGCTGCCTGAGCCCCCAGGGACCCCCAGCCCCCCCAGCCCCCCGGCAGCCCCTGTCCCCGCTCACCCATCCTCCCTGCTGGGCGATCCAGCGGGCGATGCGGTGCTGCACCATGAACTCCACCACGTAGCGGGCGATGCGGCGCAGGAAGCCGGGCAGGCCGTGCTGGAAGACGTGCATGGCCATGCGGTAGCCGAAGCTCAGCAGTGCAATCACACGGCCCCAGTTGATGCCGCTCTCGAACAGGCTGGAACGGAGCAGAGTCCCCGCTGAGTCCCCATCCGGAGCTCCCGGCTCGGCCTCCCGGAGCCGCCCGGCCCGAGGGGTCTCGGGAGGGAACGGCCCCGGAGTGGCACCGGGCGAGGTTTGGGTTGGATGTTAGGTTGGATATTAGGGAGCATTTTTTTCACTGAAAGGGTTGTCCAGTCACCATCCCCGGACAGATTTAAAAGCCAGGTGGATGTGGCGCTTGTGGACACGGTTTAGTGGTGGTTTTGGCAGTGCTGGGGGAATAGCTGGACTTGATGATCTCAGAAGGCTTTTCCAACCCAAACAGTTCTCTGGTTCTGTGGCTGCAGGGCTGGGGATGCTGCACCAGTCCTTGAGGCTCATCCCAGCCACACAGACATGGTGATTTTGTGGCTGGAAGAGGCCCCCAAATGTGTCCAGGGTTTGGCTGCTGAGGGCAGGTTTGGCACTGATTTATCTAGACCAGTTTTTGAAGGGGTTTTTCCGGCTTTCCAGCAAAGCAAGCGAGAAGGGAAAAAAGGGAATAAAAAAATAAAAAAGAGAGTAGACTGAGACCCTGTGTTTCAATCTGCTGCCCTGTGCTGGTGGTGCCTGCACTGCTCCCTGCAGAGCCTTGGCAGAGGTATGGAGGGAGAGGGGAGTTAGAGCCCTGGAGGGAGCAGAGAACAGGAGCACAGGGAGAGGGACAGGGGTTAATTTACCTGAGTGTGTTACTGCCTCAGCCAGCACGGCTTCCCGGACAGGGGAGCAGGAAAAGGACAGAAGAGAAGCAGTTAGACACAAACACCGAGAGGAGGGTGCAGGGACAGGGCTGTGCAGAACCAGGGGTGCTCAGAGGAGCCATGGGAACCCAGAGAACCCTCCTGCCTCTGCCTTCTGCACGACCCTGGGCAAACCCCTGAACGTACAGAGTGTCCTGGTGTCCCTGCAGCCAGGCAGGGTGAGCACTGAACCCCTGGATGCCACCTCAAACAAAGCTGTACCACATCCTGGGGCTGCATTTGTGCCTCTGACAGCCAGACTCCTCGGGATGTGCCAGCCTGGGGCAAGCAGCAGCAGGACCAGCAGCAGCTCTGCCTGGGCCCAGGGCTGGCTGTGCCCCTGAAGGACATTCACTTGGCTACATCCCCAAGACTTTCTGACCCCAGTCAGCTCCTGCAAGGACAGAGATGCCTGTCAGGGGAAGACTGTCCTAGCAAGGCACAGGAGGAGGAGCAGACAGGCAGGAAACACAGAAACAGTCAGGGTGAGCTCACGGGGAGCTCGGCCCAGGGACAGCGGGTGAAGCTTGAGTGGACAGAGCCTGTGTGCTGGGACAGAGCCTGTGTGCTGGGACAGTCCCTGTGTGCTGGGACACACTCTGTGTGCTGGGACACACTCTGTGTGCTGGGACAGTCCCTGTGTGCTGGGACACACTCTGTGTGCTGGGACAGTCCCTGTGTGCTGGGACACTCCTTGTGTGCTGGGACACACTCTGTGTGCTGGGACACACTCTGTGTGCTGGGACAGTCCCTGTGTGCTGGGACACTCCTTGTGTGCTGGGACACACTCTGTGTGCTGGGACACACTCTGTGTGCTGGGACAGTCCCTGTGTGCTGGGACACACTCTGTGTGCTGGGGCAGAGCCAGAGAGGGGGAGAGGGTTTAACCTACAGCACTGCACCTGTGTGACGTCCCCTTCCCTGCTCTGCCCCAGGAGAAGGCTCCCAGCCTGCCAAGGGCCCTACCTGGAGGCTATCTTGGTGAAGTGCTCGTAGGCATTGGCTGCAGTGGGCTGCAGGGTGTCCAGCATGGTGCGGAACTCGGCGTCGTAGCGCCTGTAGATGTCATCGCCGATGATGGCCAAGCGCTGCCCCACCTGGCTCCCGGTGCTGTGGAGGGAGGGAGGGCAGTCAGGGCGGCTCAGCAGGACTGAAGGGGGGGTCTGACACGGGGTCTGACACGGGGTGGGCCGAGGGACGTGCACAGGGTTGGTACCAGACATTTACCTCTCCAGGTCCTGCTGGATTTGCTCGATCTCGGGGTCCGTGGGCACCTCCGCCCCTCTCTCCTCCCTCTCCTGCCGGTAGCGGTAGAAGGCGTAGCTCCGGAACACCTCCTCTGCCTCTGCTGCCACTCGGGCTTCTAGAGACACAGGGGGAGAAAAGTCAAGGGAGAAGGGGGAAACCGTCTCTGGGCCCCAGAGGGGGTGCTCAGGTTACACCGAGTCCAGGCTGGGTCAATAGAGGGGAAGGGAAGTGACAAACCCTGTCGCTGTGTTTTCAGGGGGTTGGTTTTTGTTTTGCAGAAACGGGTTTATTTGGTGGCAAACAAATCTCACCTTCTGGGAACCGGAGGAGCCCGGAAAGGCTCCCCTGAGAAAACGAAAGCGGCTGACTCAGAGTTTCAGGGAGAGGAGGGCAAACACACGGCCAGACAGAAGAGGAAATTGGTGCTCCAAAAATCCCTGGTTTAATTACCCCAGGTGCTATTTTTAGTAACACAAGGTCAGGAGAACAGACAAGGGCTCACAATCACACCCAAGCAGATAAATGTCTTCTGCATCCAAAGATAAGCAAACAAAACCCCAAATGAAATCCAGGCTCAACCCCTGTGACAAAAGCCTCCTTCCACCCCACAATTCCACGGCACGTGCTGGTGAGAGCTACAGATTCCTGCTTCCACTGGAGCCCACAAGGCTTCTGCCTCAGAGGCATGCAGGATCCCTCTGGGATCCTCCAGATTCCCGAGTTTTGGGAGGCAGAAGGATGCCAGGATGGCCAGTAAGTGCCTGCAAGCAAACAAGAACTCCCATCTTAGCAAAGCAACCCAGCAGGGAATAAAACAAATAAATAAAGGGTTTAAAGTGCTTCCTCCCCTGAACACCTCACAGCTCCTTACCTGGGTTGAGCTCCTGTGACAACCTGCGCCTGTCGCTCCCCTGGCGCCTGTGGGCCCGTGGTGGGTCACCATCATTCCCTGAGGCCATTGCAGAGGGATGCTTGGGAATGTCAGCTTCACCTGGAACACGATGGTGGGAGCTGGTGAGTGACCTGGCACTCAGCAGGAGCGCTGCTGGTCCTTGGCGCTCGGAGCAGCAGGAACGCTGCTGGTGTTATCTCTGCCAGCAACCTGTTTCCTCCCTACCTGGCACGCTCATTCCTTGTTCTGACTACAAAAGAATTCTGCTTAGTCCTTTGACTGCACTGGATTTCTCCTCTTCGAGACTCTGATGTCATTTGCCAAAAAAAGACAACTCACTACTGCACTTCCTCCTGGGTTTGCTGGGAACAGGTTCCTTCCCTCTCTGCAAGTGGCTTGGGCTGCAGCAGCTCTTTCTGCCCTGAAATGACTGCAGCACCACACACTTCCTCAGCCCAGACCACAGTGCACCTGCAGGGCCTCACCCGGGGCTGAAATAAATTCAGTGAGAAACAAACACATGGCTCATCCTGCCCCTGAAGCTCACAGGAATCCTGAACCCAGACCTGCAGCTCAGGGCTTATGGCAGCTCCTTCACCCTTAGCCCCAGGGTTTGCAGAGAAGGGAGAGAGGCCACACAGTTCCTGCCAGGATTAACAGGGATCACAGCAGCTCCTTGCCTGCAGTCTGACGTGCCAGTACACGCTCCCAGGCCAGACTTCTGCAGGGCTGAACTGGTGGGTCTCCTGATTTGCAGCAGCTCTGAACTCATGAATAAGATAAAATTCATGACATTGACACCCAGAAATTTAAATAAAGAAAGAGCTGGTTATGGATAAATAACCACCTACATCAGTGTTGGAAGTGCAACACGTGGGTCAAGCTCACAACCTCACACTGAAGATTGCTCAGAAGAAAAAAGAAATGGAGATTGTCAGCAGCAATGGGAAGTACAGCCTGCACCCCAGTGGGATGGGGGCTGGAATCACAGAGCTGCTCAGGAGCCTGAGCCGTGGTGACACACGACAGGCATGGTGTTTTTTCCTACATGCTTCTGAGCACAGGACAGGATTTCCCTTTTCCTCCCCAAGCTCAAACACCCCCATCCAAGGATGGATGAAAAAATGATGAAAAAATGATGGGGATCATCAGCTGAGAATAAGAGTAGATCTTTGGAGAGAGCTGGCTCCCACTATCAGCAGAGACCCAGGCTCCAGAGCTGCCTCTCTCCTTGCTCTTGGAATCACAGACTCACAGGACTCCCTGCTCTGGGATGATGCAGAGAGCGCCGGGAGTGCCTGGAGGGGATGCACGTGCCCATCCCCTCCTCCTGAGGAAGCCTCTGGTGCTTCCCCCACTGCCCCCCCAGTCCCTCTGTGGGCCCAGCAAGGGTGGGAATTTCCACTGTTACCCCACAGTGCCACGGCCCAGGCGGGACGGGATGCTGGGGAGGGTGTGGGTGCATCCAGCGAGCTCAGCTGCCTCGGGAGCTTCCACAGCTCGGTCTGTAGGGACAGTGGGCTGTGCCTGACATGGATCCAGCCCTCACCACAAGTGACAGAGGCTTTTTGCTGCAGCCCTGCTCACATGAGGGGCCGGCCGTGGAGGAGCCCAGACCCAGACGCAGATGACTCATGATTTTCAAGCTTGCATTTGGCCAACCCTTTGAACCCTGGGAGAACTTTCGTTTTCGGTTTCCTCCTGGGTTCTTGCAGCGCTCTCTTCTCTTCTCTTCTCTTGTGACACAACCCTGTGCAGCCCTGTGCTCACACACGCCTGGGACCGGCAGTGTGTCAGTCCCCAACCACTGCCCGCCCCAAACTCCCGCTGCTGCAAACCTGTGAACACCCAGCACAGCTCACTGCCCATCTCTGCTGGGTCAAAGTGTCTCAGACCATCCCCTCCAGGATCCAGAGTGCTGCTGCTCCTCCTGCTCCCCAACCCCCTTGATGAGCCCCGTGCCCCCTCTGTTCTGAGAACACCCCCCTGCAGGAGAAGAGGGGAGGGTGTGAAGCAGGAAATGACACCCACAGGCTGAGAGACAGCACAAGGCTCCAGAAAATGAAAACTCTCCAGGACTGGAGACAGGGCTCAAGGGAGGGTTATGGGGAAGCTGCAGGTCACTGAGAGCAGGTCTGATCCACTCTGCAAGGTGTTTTGGTCTTGTAGGAGGCTGCAAAGTGCTCAAAGCAGCAGCCAGCACCTGAGGTGTGGGTTTAGCTACACCTCCAAGGTGGCACAGGGCTCTTATCTTTATTAAAGAGCACACGCCATGCAAAGAACGAGCCTTCCCCAATTAAACAAAGACCTTTGCCTCCAACTGTTTCTCATTTCACCCTCATCTCCTCTTCTTTAAGGCCTCTGACACATTTCCTGTGAGTCTTTACAGCACACCCACCACTTCACCCAACTTTCCTCCAAAGGAAAGTTCCCGGGCCCTGGGTGCAGGGAAGATGGTGGGATCAGCCCAGAGAGGGAGCACAACCCCTGTGGCCAAGCCCAGACAGGGGGCTCTGAAGTCACCCCCTGACGTGGTCTGAAGATCCTGTTCCAGGAAATGCACGGAGCATCCTCTGGGACCTCCCGCGGCTCTGGGCCTGGGCCATGGGAGAGATCCCAGCACAGTGTGCGGGGCAGCGACCCCTCCCTGGCACAGAGACCCCTCCCTGGCACAGAGACCCCTCCCTGGCACAGAGACCCCTCAGACTCCGTGCCCGCTGCCACCCCTGCGCGGCCAGCACGAGCCAGGCCTGTCCTGGCGCAGCAAACAGGAGAGTCTGCCCGTTTTGGTGGTCCCAGGGAGGGCAGACGACCCCAGCAGACGCAGCCGCGGGGACAGCACAGCCACACGTGCCGTGTTCGAGGTGGCGGCGTGGCGGGACGGTCACCCCCTCCTCGGCGGGGCACAGCTGTCCCCACCGATGTCCCCACCGATGTCCCCACCGATGTCCCCACCGATGTCCCCGCTGTCCCCTCGGCCCCACGCGGGGATGCCGCGCACAGGGATGTCGGGCGTGGCTGTCACCGCCGCGGCCTCGCAAGGCGGGAAAAAAAAAAAAAACATCTGGGGAAAATACGGTTAAAAAAGCAGAAACTCTCTCTGTAGGGCAGCCATCCGCCCGCGGCGGGACCTCCAGCCCCGGCCCGGCCGTTTGTCCGCACAGCCGCGGCTGCCGAGGTACCACCCGCCCTTCATCCTCGTCCCGGGCCGTGCGGGATGCGACCCCCGGCTCTGTCACCCCTCCCGCCCCCCGGAATCCCCCGCGGAACCCCTGCGGCTGCCGGTGCATCCCTGCCCATGCCAGCCGGGCCCGGAGAACAGAGATAACCCACCCTGGGGGAGGCTGGGGAGGGGGCGAGGGGGTTCCCCCGAGACTCACCGTGTCCCGGGGCGCTACCGCATCCCGGCCGGGAGCCGCTCCATCCCCCTGCCTCCCTTCCTGCCTCCTGCCCGGAGCGCGGCGCGGGGAAAGGAAGCGAGCGGGGCCGGGGAGGAGGAGGGAAAGAAGAAGAGGAAAAAAAAAAAAAAATCACAAGTAGAAACCCGGCCCCGGACCATAGACACGGGCGGCTCCGGCTCAGCTCCCTCTAGAGGCACCAACCCCGGCGCGGGGCAGCGCCGAGCACCGAGGGGGCTCCTCGGGGGGCTCGGGGGGAGCTGAGACACCGCTCAGGGAGCTGCGGGGCTGGGGGGCTGCCCTGCCCTGCGCTGCGGGGATGGCACCGCACACCCCGTCCCACTCCGGCGCTCTGCTTGTCGTGCTGCCCCGGGAGCCTTCGGCGTCTCTCCGGGCTCTCCAGTGGTTTTCTGACCTTTTCCTTAAGGCTGCACCTTAAGGTTTGCCCTCTGCCAGGTTCCCCGAGGAGCCCCGTTACAGTCCCTGCTGGAGCATTTCTGGGGTTCAGGAGGAAACTTGTGTTGATCCACCGTAAAAATGCCACCAGTGGCAGAGATGGTTCACACCAAGTGCCTTCAGAAATTTGAAATCCACTGAAAAATCCCAGCAGCTGGAAAGAGGGGGTGTGATTTTAGGAGAGAGAGATTGCAGTGCTGAGGGTTCAGTGATCTGTCCCAGCTGCTTTTCCTCTCCTTGCTCCTTGGGACACTGCCAGGGGCACTGCTGGGGCTGGAAAGTGCCAGATAAGCAGAGGTTGGGGGCCACTACAGATGCCTGACTGCTGATTATCACACAGAGGAGCTCAGTGTGTGCCCTGTGGGACGTTCCCTGCACCAGGGTGGTGGCTGCACTGACACAGTGCAAAGGACACCCACAGTGGCTCTGGGAACAGGGGCTGGGAGAGAGATGCCCTGGCCAGAGATGGGTTTCAGGGAGGTAAAACAACGACAGAGCAGAGGGAGGGGAGGGATCAGCTGTGGGGGACCATCCCCACCAGCCGGGTACCAAGGGGTCTGCCTTCCTCCCATGGGCACCCACTGGGAAGCTCCTGGTCCTGGTGGGGGTCAAACTCCCATCACCAACCTCAGTCCTGCATCGAGCGGTGGATGTTTCAGAGGCAGATGTGGCTGTTTGGGTCTGATACCCCTGACTCTGGGTGACTGATGTGTGCTGGTGGTGGTTGTTCCTGTGCACATCTGGTTTGATGTGTGGCCAGGTTTAAGCTGTTCTACTGCTGCAGAATGAGTCCTGGGCTCCTCCCCACCACACCCACCTCAATCCAGGCCGTTCCTGAGCCCCACCACCATTTCAGATTTAGCAGCCCCCAGAATTACCTCATTAGGTGGCAGCTCTGGTGAGAACTTATGCAATTGTGAATCTCCTCTAAAACCTTTCCTTTTGGCAAACCACTTCCCTTCCACCTCGGACACGTTGCACAACACCTCTGCGGTCTGGCTGTGGAAAACCAGCTGGGAAAGTGGTGCTGGGCAGCCAACAGCAATCCCCAAGTCCCTTGATGTGAACCACCTCTGCCACTGGAGACTTTTTTTGTGGTGCACCAACACAGAAATTTCCTATTAGGAAGCAGAAATGCTCCAATAGTGGCTGTAACAGGGCTCCTGCTGTAACAGGGCTCCTGCTGCTCACACTGAGCAGTAAAAGATGTGGAAAAGAAGCTGTGCAGGATTGTTGGACAAATCTGTGTCTACAGCAAAAGCACAAGGAGCTTGTGGGGACTGAGCTGTGGGGACTGAGTTTGTGGGGAGTTCTTGTCCCCAGACAGCACTGGAGAGGGTTGGGGGGCAGGGGGGATATCAGGGATAAAGGGAAATTATTTTGAAAGGAATAAATCTCTGTTATGGGAATGGCCAGCATGGACCTCGAGAAATGCTGGTGGGAAGATGGCTTGAGCAGTGGTGTAAATCCTGTGTGCAGCCAGCCTGTCGTGCCACTGCAGAGGCTTTGGGACGTGGAGGCAGCAATTCCCAGCTGGCTCTGCTGCCCTGGCTTTGTGATCACTGATGCCAGTGTGAAATGTTCCCAGCTCTCACCAGCTCCTCCTTTCAGCAGCTCCCTTTGCTGGTGGAAGTAAAGAAATTTATTTGCTGGTGGAAATAAGAGATGCACAGCAGCTGTGGAGATGGAGCCTCGGGATTCTCATGGCATTTTAGAAGGTAGTTTCACCAATGGTTGGTGTTAAATCTGTGCTGCTGCTGGAAAAGGGGACAGGAAAAGGGGGCTGTGCTATGTGAGCCTCCTCTGGTGCCAGCAGGAGTGAGGGGCTGAGGTGATAACACCCTTCCTGGGGGAGGAGAGCTGTGGTCTGTGCCAGGCACAGGGAGAGAACAGGAAGGGTGAGAGAATCTTGGATTTAACCAGTCATGATGTCATAGCACTTTTACATGATTTTTTTTGTTAGGGTAAACCCCCCCCATGTTGAGCAGGCCATGGGGTGCTGCTGGTCAGCAGTGGGTAGCACTGGCACAGCTGGCCTCAGTTTCCCATCCATGCCAGATGTCTGCTCAGCTGCACGAAGCGCTCTGAGATCTCTGGGTGATAAATTGGCACAGCAGGGATGAGGGGAGAGGTAGAGATTTTTCCAAGCTCAGCTGCTGGAATCAGTTACCTCAGAATCGAGCTGTTGGAGAGACACTTCGTCAGCACTGACAGCAGCTTTTTCCTGGTTTTCCCCACTGCAGCCTCATGCTCTGGAAAGTGAGATGGAAAGGGAAGAGGAGTCTCTTCTGAGTGTGGCTGCTGATACACCTGCAGAGCCCTCTGATGTGGTGCTGGCTGAGAGGTGAGATCCTCCCCTCCCTCCTGCTCAGGTGGGAGCAGAACCCCCCTTGGCAGAGCTGTGGGAACCTGCTGGGCAGGGAAATGAACGGAAAGGGCAGGTTTGAACTGCCAGAGGGCAGGGTTAGGTGTGACACAGGGAAGGAATTCTTGTCTGGGAGGGTGGGCAGGCCCTGGCACAGGTTGCCCAGAGAAGCTGTGGCTGCCCCAGCCCTGGAAGTGTCCCAGGCCAGGTTGGAGCATCCTGGGCTAGTGGAAGGTGCCCCTGCCCAGAGCAGGGGGTGGAACGAGATGAGCTTTAAGGACCCTCCCAACCCAAACCATAGGAGGATTCTGTGATTCTAAATCTCCTCGGAGCACCAGGTGGCACTGTCCGACTTCCAACCGAGCTGAGCCGAGCCGGGCCAAGCCCGCTGGGGACGCGGAGAGCGCTGGGTCCGGCTGCGGGGACAGGGGGACAGCACGGAGCGGTGCTGCAAGGGACATCCCAGCACAGACCAACGGGGTTTTCTGTCAGCCTGCAGCTTTGGCACCCCGGCCAGTGCCGATGGTGGGCGGGCAACACTTTAGAAAATCTGGTGCCTTCTGCAGACAAACCCAGCGCATTCCAGGTGGGGTTATTTATGAAATAAGCCCAGTTTTGAGTCTCCCCTGTGAGAAGGCTGGCTCTGCACTCCCTGCCTCAGTTTCCCCTTTCCTGTGAGAGGTTCCATACCAGCTCCTTCCCTCTGAAGCACCTCACGGGGCAGTGCCAGAATCCTAAATGCCTCTCAAATCTGGACTGGCAAGGGCTTTGGGCAGTATCAGACCACTGGCAATGGAAACCCTCTGTCCCCGTGGGGACTTTCCGAGCCCGGCTCTTGCTTCAGCTGCCCTCAGTGCCCGGGGCAGCCAGCACACACCTCCCAAAGACAGGGACAGCCCGGGAGAGAGGAAAAGCGACTTCCTTCGCTCCCTGCACAGGAAGAGCACGTCTGGAGGTGGGGAGGGGGTTCTGTGCCCTCCCTGCCCGCCGGGCCCGTGCGCAGGGATGGGGGGGTCACCTCAGCATCCCGGCTTCCCCCTCCCGCAGGGCCAGATGTGCTGGCGTGTCCTCAGGAGCTGCATCCGGGGGTGGAAGCTCCCCAGTCCCGCCGGGAAGCGGAGCGTGGGGGCGGGTTTTGTCTCAGCCGGGCGTTTCACCGACTTGTTCTTCCTCCGTGCTCGGCTCCGCGGAGCGTGGGCAGGGCAGGCTCGGAGCGCTTTGGAACGCGGCCGGAGTTCCAGGAGATGCTTCTCCCTGTGAACCCTCTGCCGTGAGCTCCGGGAGCCACACAGAAGCTCCTTTCAGCCCCCGAGGGGTGTCTGGGAACAGATGCCGATTCATAAGCGCAGCTCCACGGCAGATAAAGGCAGGGACGTTCCTGGCGCGGCTCCCGAAGCCGCAGCCCCTGGGAATTGCTGGTGTCCAGCTTCTCTGGGGCAGCGCAGGGGGCTGGAGGCCAGCGGGGCTCCAGCAGCTGCGGGGTGTCAGCTCAGCCCTGCTCTGCACCTCTGCTTGTGCCCTGGGGACGCGGGTCCAGCTCCCCAGCCGTGGGGGCAGAGGTGCCCGGAGCCCCCTGCCCTCTGCAGGGCCCGGTTTGGGGCCCGGGGCAGCCCCGGGAGCCCTGTCAGAGTGGGAATGGGCAGCAGGGCCGGGGGGAGTGGTGGTGGTGCCACTCTGTGCCCGCCACTTGGGTCCCTGAGGTGCATCCTTCCCTCCCCAGGTCCAGCTCCTCCCCAGGGACCAGCACACACCGGCAGCCCCTGCGGAGCTCAGAGAGATCAGCGCCGCTGCCTCCCTCCCCATCCCGGCACCGGCCGAACGGCCCCTCAGCTCCAGCTCTTTCCTCTCCTTTTCCATCTGCTTAATGAACATACCACGTTTTCCTTTTCGCTTTCCCCTTTCCTGTTCCTCGGGAAGGACCCTTCAGCCTCACCCGCCCGACTGCCACGGCCTGGCTTTGGTTTGAATTTTTTACTAGTTTTTTTTTCTTAGATTAAGCATTTAGTGTGACTAAAATGTTCTCACTTCTCCCTCTGATTATTCACTTTCCCTTATTAAACTGTTCTGCGCTGAATTACTTTTCCTCCTTTCCCAACCCTTCCACCCTCCAGCTTTTTCATTATTTATTCTCTGTGGCTTTTAAGGATTTTATTTATTAATTTCTGGGTAAGAAGAGGCCTCTGCCTCTGTCTCCCACACATAAAAGGACTGCTGGGATCAGTTTGGCTGGGGGTGATCTCCGTCCCCAGGGGCTAA